CTGTAATTTATCATCTATGTGGAAGGAAGGTGTATTTGAAAAAGATGGTATATAAAATGGATCCAATAAGAAAACAAAATTAGGAGATTATGGTAATAGACATTATAGAATGTTATCAGAGCCCGAGGCAGAGTGGTGATAAAAGGAAAGGTGCAGATACATTTCACAAATGGAAAAAAAGCACATGGTAGCCAGTTGGATTTGGGGATAAAGAGGAGGAAAAAGTTGAAAGTGGCTTTAAATGTTTGCATCCAGTGTCAGGGAGACTAAGAATAACACAAACTGAATAGAAACACAGTAAAAGAAGGAGGTTTAGAAGGTAGACAGTGAGCTTTGCTTTTGGAGTGTTAAATTTGAATTATTTGTAGAACACCACCTTCAGTTTTTCTACGATGCCTTGTGCATATTTTTTAACTGTACTTTACACATCATGTGATCATTTAAATCTATAACATTCAGCTTCTACTGAGTCCTCATGATGCTTGACCAGCAGTTTTTTTACTCTTTCTTAACTCAGTTACCTTTTCTGCTCTCCTTATCCTTGGCCTCTTCCCTATCCGCTAAAATTGTCTTGTATTTTACAGAGAAAAAATAAAACCAGGAGACTCAAATTTCTTTAGATTCTACCCTTCACCTCCAATATTATCAGACCTTTAGCCATCTTTTTCCTTGTCTCAGAAAAAGACATTGTTTTTTTTTAATGCTAACTTTTTAATCTATTCTCTTTATATCTTGCTCATTCATTCTTCCAAAGGAGTCTTCAGTCTTTTTCTTTCCATTGACTAGAATGTTCCTCTAACAGGGCTCTAATGAACAAAATCCCAAGACATCCTCAAACCCCTCCTCTTCCACTCCTCTAGAGTTGGGAAGGGATAGCTGGCAGAAAGCTACGCTCTACCTTTCCTCAGTCTCAAAACACCATCCCTTGTCTCTCGTGCGTCCACTTTCTGACCACCATTCTATTGGACAGTGAATTCCTTGGCCTTTCTGTCTTTTTCATTACTGTATGTAGTGCAGTGAATGAAACATAGCAGGTGATAAAGATTTATTGAATTGACTTCGCAACAGTTTCAATTCCCGTGAAAGTCCTATTTTGAAGGTTACTAGTGACCTATTTGCCAACCAAACACAATGACTTTTTTCCTATTTTCAATCATACCCAACTTCTCAAATATATGTCACTTTGGTTTGTTTTAAATATGTGTTAGTTTATTTTTCATTTTAAAAATCTTTATTTTTTATGTTTGCATTAACTTCTTTGTATATTGTATCCTTATATGTATCTCAGAAAAGCTGAAAGGCTTGCGCCTGACAGGACTCAAGGATGAGCCCAGTGTAGACATTTCCTCACCAATCTGCACTGCACACACTCCCTGCTTCATAAAAGTCTAACTTGCTTAACTTTTGTAAGATATTTTCTCCTGACTTGGTCACATTTACCCTTCCTCATTTGGTAATGCTTTCTAATTTCAACCCTGAGGGTATTTTTTATTTTAACATTTTTTATGTGATTTCAAATATCACAATATCTAACTGAATCCTAGATCAAGTGCTGTGCCCAGCACAAAATGGATATTTATTTAATTGAAGTTGTAGCTCTAGTCCTAATTTCTGTTGAGCTCTAGACCTATATTTCTAAATACCTGCTGATCACATCTGCCTCAGTGTCTACTAGTGCCTTCAAATTCAGCATGTCAGACATTTCATCAGGGAATTCCTGAATTTCCTGTTCATAAGTCAGTAGCACCATCGTCTGCTCCCTCACTAAATTGTGGAATCACCACAATTTTTTTTCTCATCTGCCTCACCAAGTTTGTCACCAAGCCCTGCCTAGTACATTTGCCAAAAGTCTCTCAAATCTCCTTCTCTTACTCCTACTTATCTTAATCAACATTGCATAAAACCCTCCTTACCATCTTTTGTCTAGACTTTTTACAGTCATCTCCTAACTCATATTCGCATGCCATGATGCCTCCAAAGTTGTCTTATTGAAACATGAAATTCAACATGTCTCTCTAAAACCTGATCTCCCTATTTCCTACCACTTAAATTTATTCACAGTCTACCATAAACCTCAGCATTTATTACAGCCCCTGAAAGTCCCACACTGCAGCAGCTGTATAAAATCACAGAATCGTCTCCTTAATAAACTATATCCTCTCCTTCCCTCCTTCCCTTCCTAGAGTGTGTTCTTTGTCTTCCCCGTGGTTGCCCGCTCACTGTCTGTCTCAGCTGCCCAGTTCCAGTGTGTCCTCGGCACCCCACATAATACTTCTACCTACAGTGTCATATTTTACGTCTTCCAGACTAGGGGGATTTTCAGCTTTGTCTTCATTCTTAGAAACTAAAACACTTATTTCTGTTATTATTATTAATCATTAACTTTCACGAGTGCAGGTTCAGTAGAGTGCAAGGGTGGGAGGGCTCCTTTCAATGCAGGCACAAGGAATGTGAAGTAGAAACAGTGACTGTGAGCCAGAATTAAAAAGCTTTACCAGGGCAAGAATGGAGAGAAATTGAACTAGATGAGAGAAAAAATTTTAAGTGTTTTTAAATGTTTATTATATTTAACTATATTTGAAGGAGCTATGGAGAGGGAGAAATTAAAAACGTTAAAGGAGTAAGGACTTAGGACAAACAGGATGATTGGGAGGGGCTCGCTTTGAAAGCAAACAGATGCTTTTTTCTACCTGAGATGAACGGGTAACAATTTAAATCTATAAATAATAAAGTATGGAGGTAACGATGAAAGCAGAGCAAGAATTTGATGCCTTTAATGTATGACAGAAGGGCAAGATACAAAATTAGGATGATATATACATCATGAAAGTGAACTGACAAAAGTCAATTGTTAAATATTCGGGAATTTTGTGAACTGATTGTTAAATCTTTGGTACTTTGTAATCTGCCATGAGGGAATATTTACACCACAGAAATTGGCTACAAAATGAGGCTTTACCTGTAATGAGTTTGCAGGATTTCCTGGCCCTCTGTCAGATGCTTCAGGGCTTCGCTAAGGGTTGAGCCAAAATGCCGCTACACATTGGTGAAGACTGGGCTGAAGCTGGATACCATGATTATATGCTGGACCTTCTGAGGCTTGTTTTGTGTTTCTCTCCAGGAAATCCCTACTGTAAAACAGAAAAGTTAACTAGAGAGAGATCAACAAGGTGGACATGAACAAAGTAGGCTCTAGGATAATGAAGTTAAGATACTGGAGAAAGAAATAGAATGCTGTCAGTGCATGGGGAAGGGTAGGGGCAATTTAGTAGAAAACAGGGAAAAGTGGACTTAGTAAACATAGAGGAATTGTGACGGATAAGATTCTACTTGAAATAGAGTGGTTTTTGTGAATATCTTGAGGAATAAGAAAAATGTCAGGCAAGGGAGTTGTTTAGATCTTTGTGTAAAGAGTTCAGAATGTGGTCATACTCATAAATGGAAGAGAAGGAAGTGTATTATAAAGTAAAGGAAGCAGTGAAGTATAAATTTCCAAAGATCTAAAGAGTGGTGGGTAATTAGAGCAAATTTTAAAGTTGATTAGGAATGATGGTAGACAATAGAAAGAGGCAGAGGAACAGGAGCCAGTTACAATGAGATAAATATTGGAGCCAATGGATAAATTGATCATTTGGAAAGGGCAGATGCACTTTTTTATAATAAAATAGTTTAAAATAGTACAAAGCACAGGATGACTGTTAGATCATGAATTCCAAGGGGCCCAAGAGAGCAAAGTTGTCTTCATTCACCGAGTTGAGTAAATATTTACGGACCAGTACTCACGGTGGGAGTCATCCTCATCACTGGGGACGTGAGGCACTCTGGGAATGGCCATCTGCAGGCCTGAGCTAGAGCTACCCACAGACACCCCAACCCAGGGCCCCAGACACGTGTGCTCCTTGCTAAAGCCAAATCAAGATCACCAATCAATGAGGAGAGAACTTTCAAATTACAATATTAAAATTTACCTAGTCAAAGACTTATTTACCAATGGAAAACCATAGCTTCGTTGTACTTCCTTCTGGTTACTTTATGGTTGCATATTGTTTTCATGTTTAATTACATGGAAGGTGTTGGGGGGAAGGAGAGTCACGGGTGCAGGCACTGTAATCCTTTCACTGCCCTAAATGTCCTGTGCTGGCCCTGGCTCTCTTGACTGCAAGAAGATAGAAATGTATTGGCTTTATTGGCTTTTTTAGAATAAGGCAAAAGTATTTCTTCTGGATGTTCAGAATCTTAGGGTGAGCGAGTCAGCTTGTGTGAAAGAAGAAAATATTTGGATTTAACTTAAATACTGACACTCAAAGGGGCTTATTTTTATACCTGTTTTCCAGTTTCTATTTTTAAAACTATGATAGCAATGCTTTATTAATGTATTCTAATCTCTAGAAAAGAACTTGGTTAAGAGCTTGATTTGAAAGGAAAGAGGGAATTTGTTACCCAGAATTAGCAGTCTTTGGACAATTATTCAACAAAATCATTTGAATTTATTATATTACTTTCTAGTAGTTAATTAAAAAGAAAAGGGGAAAAGGTGAGGTCTGTATATCAGGTACTGAATGAATGTAGTACTCTAATACCTGTCTTTAAGAAAAAATAAAGTATCTCAAAATGCACATAAACTAGAAGTTGCATCTCTTAAGGCCACTAATTTGAAAAAGTCTAGTTTCTGGTTTTGAGCTGCACAAATATCTGTCTTTGTAATGACAGGGTAAGTGCCATTGGTATCAAGCAGTGAGTACAACTGACCTGAAACCAGTATAGCTGAAAGCTAGCTGTAATTCTGTCTAAATTCCTCTTGACTAAAGTCTTCTCTTTTTGTAAATTCAATATAATATTGCATTTTTTCAGTTTACTTGCACATAGATAAAAATGCCTTTATTCTTTACTGCCCTTTATGATACATTATAAAAATTGATAAAAGTTAGAAAGATTCATTTTAATCATTTTCTGTACTGCCACACAAATTTAAATTTTTTCTTGTTTGGTTCATGTTCCAGATACCATATTCCTCAGCATCTCCTGGGAATTATGTAGTAAGTACATTTGGGTTTCTTAGCTCATAAGAATTGATGTTACATTTTATTTGGGCATTGAAATAGTTGTCCAGATGTTAAGAAGAGCCCCTATGTATTAGCCAAGAAGTGAACATCTGATTTGTATTGAGTTGCTTCGTCTGCCAACCACAGTACATATGTTGATGTTCATTAGCGAAACACTTACCAATCTGGCTCAGAGTGCCCGGAGTACTGTGTCTTACTTCAGCATGTGTTTCTGTAAACCAATACAATGCACTCTGTCCAATCATGAAGAAAGCCATCCCCAGTTACTCAATGATATGCCTGAATTTGCAGTTCTTCGGGAGAATAATCTGCACCCCACTTCTCCGCTCACCCTACAGAATCTAAGAAGACATTAAACTCTCCCAGTTGCAGAGAATCAGATAGCAGGATAATGACTAGTAATGAGAGGGTATTTTTTTAGTTATGTTTTCGTTCCTAGAAATTGAAAACACTTATTTTTATTCTTATTATTTAGTACATGTTAAATTTTTTCAGTAATTTATATATTCCTGAAGTCAAATTAGCAGATTTTATATGAGCTTGTAAATGACCTTTTACGCATTATTACATTATAATCCTTGCTGCATCTCAAAGCCATCACAGAGCACAATTTCTTATAGTATAGAGTGGGACAAAAGCAGATTTTGTGGTTGAGTATGTGAAACAGAGTTTATTCTTATATCATTATTTATTAATTATTGTATTATTTTTCCATATGAGCAGTTGTAAATCTACCTTTGCCCCACCCTGTATTTAAGAGGAAATACCTAGCAGAGAAGCAAGGATAAAGTGGTAAAAAGGAAAATCTTTCCTGATGAAATTTTCAGAAGTGGTAGCTAATTGGAATAGGAAAAAAGAAATGCTTATGAAGATCAATGAGCACTTTACCCTCCATGAAAACTGTTCTATGAGCACCATGAAAAGCATGCACTGCTTTGGGCCTGTGAACTCAGTGTTCAGTGTTTCCTTAAGTTACACACACTAAGAAAGTCTCATTTTGTTCACACTTTCTAGGAAACAAAAATGAAAGTAAGAAAATTTGGGTAAAACCTGTTTTTTCTTAAAGTCACTCAAGAATAAGCCTGATATATGAAAGCCTAGTTTTATGAAACTGTAGATGTTTATTTGAATGAGAATTTAATAATTAGTGGACTATGCTTACACACTCAGAACAAAGTGAAACTTTAGCCACATAATAGTTATTTCTGTCACTATAAGAACATCTGAGAAGTTCTGAAACCCATTACCTGAATTATTCATTTTGGTTTTCTGAGATTACGGAATAGTTTTGGAACTACCTAATCTCCATTTCAGGCTGACTGTGTAGCTGCAGCCTTGGTAACCCGCAGCATTAGTCAGCATTGCCCTTCATTTCTAACTGATGGGGTGGGTGAAGGTACAGTGCTCCAGAGGTGTTGCAACTGGTACTGAAAGAAGAAAGAAGGAGAATCAATGTATTCTGTGAACATTTATTAAGTATCTTTTGGTTTTTAGTTTATATTGAAGTCACTGATACAAAAAAGAAATTACAATAAAGTAAATATCAGATACACATAAGTTATTTCTCTTCTGTGGACTTATAAGACCTTATTAAATAGTTTCTTCTCAACCTCATTATACCTGTGTGATTGAATTATGAGTAACAAATCAGTGTTACAGACTCATTGTTTGGGGGGGACCTGTCAAAACAATCTCAACATATTTAAGCTAAATTATTTTTAACATAAGATTGAAATGATTATGCATTCAAAGAAAATTAATTATGGAGAAAATAAATTTCCTCTGTTATTTTCAAATTGGATTATTATAAACATGTCTAACTCCCCCCCTTATATTGTCTAATGAAATGCCTAATTTTTACTGAAATTCTGTGTCCTTGTTTAGGGTCCTCCGGGAGGTGGGGGGCCACCAGGAACACCCATCATGCCCAGCCCAGCAGGTATTGTAAACTAACCGGCCACACTGGCACTTCATTATTAAAATAAAATCACAAAATGGAGAAAATGTTCTGAAAGTTCATTGTATTCATGGTGCCATTGATGGATGCAGCCGAGTAGAGGCAGCAAGTAGGAAGAAATGGTGTTCTTAAGTAACTACTGTCCAGTTACATTAAGCATTTAGAAAATTTCTGCTAAAATTTCTATGTGGGTAACAGATAGTCAGGATGCAAATTCTGTTGATCTGTATGAATTTCCCAGTAACTGATTTGGCTAAAAGATTTCCTGAGACTGCAGAAAAGATCCAAATCTCACAATTTAGAAAAATTGTGCGTAAGTAACACATAAAATACATGGATTCATTAGGTTTAATGTAACAAATCAAACCCAGCAATCTATTGTCTTAATAAGATTGGTAAGATTGATGTAGCTGTACCTACAATATTATTTACCCTACACATCTATAGGAACTTATTAGTTAGCTAATAGATCCACTATGGAGTATGAAAAAAATTTTAATCTTCTGAACTAAAATACTCCAGTATTCCTATAATCATGTAATCAACTATTTCAAAGAGCTCTATCCTTTCTTGTTGAGACTGCAGTGCAGACCATTTAAGCATGCGGTGTCTTGAGGACCCCAGTGGTGGTGGCGGTGGCGGTTTGCATTGGCAGAGCTCTCCTGCGGTGTGCTCTGCAACACGTGTCAGGAGCCATGAAAAGTTTCTACCGCTTGACTGTAATCCTGCTACTAGAAATGAATAGGGTATAGTCTAAGATTTATATAGAGAAATGCTCATTTGTTACAGTCTATAGCGAGACAATGGATACAACCTTCATACCAAATCTAATTTTAGTGAAATATTAATATTTATACAATATAATGTAAACATTTAAGTTATTATCAAAGAATGATTAATTGCATGGAAAATAAATATTCATAATTCAATACAACATGATCATAATTTTATTCAATATTTTAAATATTGAATAAAACAATAAAATAGGTTAAAACTTTATCAGTGATGACTTCTAGGTAATGAAATAGATGGGAAATCTTTATATTTAGAAAAATGTAATAATGTTACACTGTTAAATGCATGTTTTTAACTGGTTTATTTAAGTCTAAGATGTGTGGAAACTTGAAATTAAATATCATTAATTATACCAATAAATCATGATGTTTAATTTTTGAATCTTTCTAATTTAGAAAAGGCATAAATTTAAGAATTAATGCAAATTTTACTTTGCTTCCCTAACTCTTTGAAATATATCATAAATATTTCATAGGTCTCTGTCCTCAGAGCATCTTCACTGAAGCAAAACAAAATTCATTGAAGATATAATTACGTGAATTGAACATCTTGCCCACATTTGCATTTCTATTTGCCGAAGGTGTTTATGAAGGTGGCTTGTGATTAATAAACACTTCACTACAATACTAAAAGAAATTTCTTTTGAGAAACACAACTTTGCAGGCGATATGTAATTCAGTCACTTCCTTTCAAGCCAGAAATTGCCACCAGTATATCTTGCTGTCTTTTTTGCATATTCTTTATGTATTAGTCCTTTGTCAGTCATTCTTCTAATATGAAGCCAATCCCCCACCAAAAAAGATAGATGCCAGGAGATCTACTTTATTTATAAAGTTTTTCCATCCACAAATAGGAATCAGATATTTTCTAGATAATACCAACATTATTCTCCTCAATACTTTTTAGATGAAATTACATTATTGATTGTTCTTAAAAACAAGAAAGTTCCTTTTCTTTGTGCATATTTAAAATATACAGCCCATTTTCCTTTCAAATTAATTACTAGAAGTAGTAAATAAAATTACTAAAGTTAATGAAAGTGAAAAATCATTTGAAGTTTTCCTGTGTTTAAAAAATCCACCCAAGATTTTCTGAAAGATAAGTTTTTATGGTATAGAATTTATTCCATTAAATTAACAGATATTTATTGTCTGGTGGTACACAATGTGAGTTAGATATGTTCCCTTTCCTTCCCCCAAATTTACTATAATCTAGTTGGAAGCAAGAGAAGAATAAAACAAAATATTAACTATAATGCAAAGCAGAATTCATACACTTGGAAGTATGAGAAAAAAAAGCTGATAGCATTTCCAATGTGCCTTGAATAATAAGTAGAATCTGGGAGGTGGAGCGTGAGTAGTAGACACTTGGAGGAAGGAAGAGCAAACACATGGAAAGATTGATCCTGTGCAGGCGAGAACAAGTACCCAGGTTGGCAGGAGCGTGGCCACCTCAGGATGTAAAATTGTTAAGGCCACAAAAATAGGTGGGCGTTGCAGCTGTTCAACAGTGTGAGGCAGCGCTTTGCAACCAGTGTGCCGCAGGAACTTTTAAAACATGCAGCACCTGACTGTTCGGTTAGGGGCACTGACCTCTTTCCCTTTAAATTGTCAAATAAAAAAGTGACAACAGCCAGTGAATCAATGTGAATGAATCAAAATTATACCTATTTTTTTCAGGTCAGCAAAAATATAACATTTTTTGCTGTGCTGCAGAATTTTAGTAATTAGTTTATGTCTGCCATGAAATGAAAAAAGTTGAAAAAATGAAGAAAGTTGCTGGTGTGATACATTAATCTAGAAGTGAAAAATAATATTTAGATTTATGGACTACTGTCTACAGACAACTGATGCATTACATCTAACCTAGAGTCTAAGTGGTATATCCTAAAATAATAAACTTATTAATGTCTGATAAGTAATCACAAAATAAGAGGAAAAATCATTGCTCATTTCCAACTAACTCTGTGATTATTGCCATGAGGAAGCAATTGATTTTTTATGTTCTGCCTGAATCCATATAAAAGTTTGAAACACATCTTTTTCAAAATAGAAAAACCTACTATATTGTATTTAAGAAAACTGTGTAATTATAGAAAAATAGAAAAACATATTTCATAATTAACATATCCCAAATGTAAAATATTTATCTTTTTACTCTAAGTTATACATGATAAAAAACATATTTATAAACTTAGAGTTAACTAATAGACATAAAATATAAATTTTTTAAAATACTATAAAATGTTATATATATCAAGATATGCTACAGTTATTTTTATTATAATGAACCAAGAATAAAATGAGAAAAAAGTTTTATCAAAAATTATACTGCAAGAAGCTAGCTTTTACTTCAATGAAGAGAATTGTCACCCTGTCTGATGTGGCTCAGTGGATTAAGTGCAAGCTACAAACCAAAGGGTTGCCAATTCGATTCCCAGTCAGGGCACATGCCTGGGTTGCAGGCCTGGTCCCCGGTAGGGGTCAGGCAAGAGGCAACTATACATTGATGTTTCTCTCCCTCTTTTTCTCTCTCCCTTCCCCTCTCTCTAAAAATAAATAAATAAAATCTTTTTTAAAAGGGGATTGTCAGTCCAATTTTAGAGTTTTTATCTATTCTCTGTTGGAATTAAGCCAGGGTATTTCACCATCTTTTACTAATTATTAGCTAAATAATCAATATTTTAAATTTGTGTAAAGAAGCCTAAGGAAACAATGAAAACTGAAAAGCTATTGAATCTGACTTTAAAAGATATTTGTCATACATATAAATTGCTTAGAGAAGTCAAAAATGTCTATGACTTAAACAAAAAACTTTATCTTTTTTAGATTTTTTAAGGTAATTTCTTTTTACCTGAATTATTCAAATGATTACTCCTAACATATTAGATAAATAGTCCTAATTTACAACCTCTGGATAATGCTCCTGAGTCAGAAAATGACTTCGAGCTATGCATTTATTTCTGAGTGTTAGCACTGGTTAGTGCCAGTGCGGTGGCTGTTAGTACGTGTCGGTATCCAGATCATCTCCAGTGTCTGCTCTGTGATGACTTGGGTATGGATTAGAAAGAACAATAGTAATGAAGTGATATTTTGTTTCAGATTCAACCAACTCGGGAGACAACATGTACACTTTAATGAATGCAGTACCTCCTGGACCTAACAGGCCTAATGTAAATATGAATTTTTTTAATATTTTACAAAGTATTTGAAGACAAGCTCTTAGTGCATTCCATTTCTTGGATCCTCTTTAAGCTTTATATTTCACATCCAGGTGCTTATTGGATATCACAAAAATCTAATTCTTTCTATGTTCTGGGTTGAAAAAACATATATATAACAAAAGATTCACATCGATATAATTTAAATGTGAAAGTAAATCTAATTAATTATAAAATGTTGGTGTGTAGTCTTATTTTATCTCAAATACTTAATGATACTATTTAAAAATGACAGGTAACGTATAATTGTTTGTTACCTCATTTTACTGTCAGTAATGCCTTCTTTGTGAGCCTGTTTTTTTATCCTGACAATAAGTGAGGAAGTTGGAGATGCCTGTTTTTCTTTAGATTTTGGAATCTGGAGCTTAAGTGTGGAATAAAGGCAGTCCTACTTAAATAAAGAATTTGGGAGTTTTAATAAGGCATTTGGTTGTGATTTTTTTCCACTAAAGCTTATAGCTTTCAGGAAAATGATATTTTATTTATCCATTATACAAGACCTGTATATTAACAAAAAATATAGCAGAATGTGGTTACTACACAGCTATATATACATATATATGTTCAAATTAAAGAAAACTCAGAAGACATAAAAGAATTTTTATAAATATACTAAAGACTGAGCATGAAATAATTATAACTGAGCTCGCTAGCAGTAAAGACAACAAAGGGAACTTTAAATCTGATACGGTATGGTACTTGAAACACAGCTAGTTCAAATTGCGATGTGCTGTAGGTATAAAATACACACTAGATTGTGAGGAATTAGTATTAATAAATAATATAAAATATCTCATGAAAATGTTTATATTGACTATATGTAGAATTGATACTTTCAATATAGAGGGTAAATAAAATGCATTATTAAAATTAACTTTACCTGTTACTTTTTACTTTTTAAACATGGCTGCTAGTAAATCTAAATGTACTGATTTAAGTTCACATCTGTGACTTGTATATTATGGTGGAACCTCAGTTCTCAAACTAAATTTGTTCCAGAAAATTGTTTGAGAAATAGTTTGTTCAAAAACTGAGCCTTCTTTGTCTGTCACCTGAAGACACCTGACCGATCCTGCAGGGATCAGCATGAAGGGGGCGTTGGGTAGAGGATGGAGACCCGAAGTTGTGTTACACAACCGAGACTTTTTTCCCAATAAACAGCTTGGTGGAGACCTGAAATGTCCGAGAACCGAGGTTTAACTGTGTTCCGTGAAGCACTACTTCAGCGGCCAATATTCTCTTTATATAATCAAATAAATTGTTTTTCAGGAAGTTAAATGATTTCCTATCAATTATGTCTAAAAGGTATTTTCACAGAGATCTTAAAGAACATATGATAAAGAACAACATTTATTTTAGAAATTCAGCAAAAAAATAGGAAAGATCTTTATACTGCAATTTTGTATCTGAAAACTTGGTATTTAAAAGGGAGGGAAGGAAGGAAGAAGCCCACAGCCTGTGATACTGAAGACATTTCTGGGGGCAGCTAAGCTGACATCATCCAAGAGTGTTCCACTCTGGTTCTCTAACTCCCTACAAACGTAAGAGATCCAAGAAAAGTAGGTGAACATATCACTTTTTCAAATGTTATTCATCTCAGCCAGACCTAGTAAAAGCAAGTACCTGCTGAGGGCTAGGTCAAGCATATATATCCATCATCTTTGTGTCTTTTAAAACACCGTGGGGGCCAGATAAAAAGACCAGACTAAGTTCACAGACTGTTGGCCTCACCAGCACCAGTTTCTTCGCTCAGATCTGTGCTTTTGACAAAAACTGAATAACAGCAATAAATTCAAAGTTAACTTGTTCAACCTATCATTTAAGACATACATATTCCAAATTGTTTACTGAAAAATCAGTCCATGTGCTTTTAGGCAACAAAATTTTAGGAAACAGAATTGACATTTCTCGGGAAAATATATACGTGTGTGATTTGTATGATCGTAGATGACAAATAGCCATCTTATTTCCACCCAGAGTTGACGGTAGACAGGTTGTTTGCATTGTTTGTCCCCCAAAAGCCTGTATGACGGGGATCTGTGCACACAAATACAGGTACACTGCACACACCACATGCAGTATTCTGTGTCACACAACATGGAAGAAATGCTTTTGAAGGGGAAATTTTAAACACAAGCATTTTCAGCAGGTTTCCTTAACTGCAAACATAAGATAATTTTAAGAAACACCTTCAAACTCATATCTGGGTTTCCTCAAAAGTAATTCAGGGAGTTGAGGCAAAGACAGAGTGGGCAGGGGCCACCAGGTCCGCCACACCACTGTGTCCACAGGTGTGGCCCCAGGCTTCTAAAGTAAGGTTTCTCTCAAAGTAAAATAAAATAATACCGCAGCTTTTTAAAATCTTAATTATAACTGCTGTAGAATGATTGATTGTCACTGAACGGAGATAGTGAGACTGCGGAGAAGAGTTAGCTGTACTCAGCTGTCCCCAAGGGGCCGAACGTACAGGGTGGGGCAAAAGTAGGTCTATAGTTGTTCACATGGAAAGCGCTACAATAACTAATAAATAATACAAGAATAAATTCTGCAGTTTACATGCTCACAACTGTAAACCTACTTTTGCCCCATCCTGTATTTAATCTATGAGATTAAATTACTTATGTCCATGTGAACAAAAAATAGGTTGTCTGCTAAAAAAGTTAATGTTGGATCATTCTTACTAATAAGATGTTAACCATCTTTACCAGCTTTGTAAAAATTACCTCTTGTTTATAATAGCACAGTAGCACAGAAGAGAGTGATTATCATTTGCACTGGAATGTATTTGCTTTCTAGTTGGAGGTGTCTGGGGAAGAACAATGGGGTTGTGAGTGAGACTTCATCTGAATATCCAGAGAGGGGGTGTGAGGAGAGAGGCAGGGCGGTCCAGTGGGAGAATCTACAAGGCCAAAAACATCTAGGAAAATAACCTCAATAACTTAAAATGAAAATAAGTTGTGCGATTGCTCTAAAATGTTTAAAACAAGTATTGCAACATTGATATAAACAGTCGTTTTTTAATAGTGTTTTTTTTTTTCATTTTTTTAAAATAGTTTCCAATGGGCCCTGGTTCAGATGGACCCATGGGTGGATTAGGAGGAATGGAGTCACATCACATGAATGGCTCTTTAGGTAAGGATATTAAATTTGATGTTTAGAAATAAATTAAAAACAAAACCTTAATTCTACATAGTGGATAATATGATTTGCAAAGTTCTTTTGTATACAGTGACTCGTTTTGAAATGCTTCACCTTCTATTTCACCCTGTTTAATCTATAGTATATTATTTATGATGACTGTAGATCATCTGAAAATCAGACACGCGAACTTGGTTCTAACCTAGCTCATATCCACAGGCATTTACTTTAACCTACCAAAGTCTGGGTGTTTTATGATAAAAGGAGGCATTGCTGTTTTGGACAAGCACAGCTTCTCTGCAGGACTACGTATCCTCCCAACTGGTTTCTTTGTTTTTAAGGGTCTGGAGAGCATTATGCTAAGTGAAATAAGCCAGAGTGTGAAAGACAAACACCATATGATCTCATCTATAAGTGTAACCTAACCAACAAAACAAACAAGCAAGCAAAATAGAACCAGAGTCATGGAAATAAAAAACAAACTGACAGTGACCAGAAAGGAGGGGGGAGGTGGGCAAAGGGAGATGGAGAAGGGGAAGGGTCAAGTTAAGGAGCATGTGTAAAGGACCCTTGGACAAAGACAACGGTGGGGGGGTTGAATGTGGGAGGTGGGGTGGGTAGGGCAGGGGAGAGCACTGGGGGAAAATGGGGGCAACTGTAATTGAACAACAGTCAATAAATAAATACATAAAGGTCTGTAGATATAATCTCAGAGAACCTTTAGTTCTTCTGCAAGAATTTCTTAATGATTTTCTGTATTTTAATGTTTGCCTCTTTAAAAATAAAATTGGTATGATATTCTGGATAATCTGAATGGTTCTCTTACAAGAGAACACTGCCCACATTTTTTTGTGTTCAGTGAAAAAGCTGATTTCAAGTAGTGTGGACTAATGGTTGAAATCATACTTCATAAAGGATGCCTTCTTGCCAAGTGAAGCCAAATACTTGTGAAGTGAACACGAGGTTTCACAACAGTGAGAAACAGAGACAAATGGTACAAATCAACTCGGTCACAGAGCTCACTATATGTATCAGCAGGCCGAATGCAAAACCAAAAAAATATATTTATTATATGTTTAAATAACATTATTTTAAACTAATGTAAGAATTCATGAAGGAGGTGGAGGTTTGTGATAATTTTTCTTTTGAAAATGGACCATCTGCCCTGGCTGGTGTAGCTCAGTGAATTGAGCACAGGCCCGTGAACCAAAGGGTCAGCAGTAAAGGGTCACCAGTTCGATTCCCAGTCAGGGCACATGCCCAGGTTCCAGGACAGGTCCCCAGTAGGGGACACATGAGAAGCAACCACACATTGATATTTCTCTCACACTCTTTCTCCTTCCCTTCCCCTCTCTCTAAAAATAAATAAATAAAATCTTTTTTTAAAAAACTGCACTTAAAAAATGGACCATCTTTTACTTGGATGGAGAAACTATGCCCATAAGTAACTTAGATTATACACAGACTTTACCACCCCACCCAAGGTCAGAAAATGCTACCTTATGATACTTTGAAAAGCCACATAGCTTCAGCAATCAAGAAACCATCTGCAACACATCAGTAGATTTTTCTGCTTTTAAGGATCCATACCTATGTTGCCTATACTTCGAATTCTTATTTTGCACTTTCCAATTATGGTAACCACTAGCCATGTGTGACTACTTAATTTTAAATTAAAAATAAGTGAAAGGTAGAGTTCAGCTCCTCAGCTGCACTGCCACTTGTCAAGTGCACGGGGCCACGTCAGCTAACGGCTGCCAGAATGGAGAGCAAGCACAGGAAGACACGTCCGTCATCACACACAGTTCCAATGGGCAGCTCCACTCTAGAATTTTCCAATTTCTTGCAAAATAATCCATTTTCCAGTCTTTTCATTTATAAAATTACTCACAAAAAGATGACCTATGGTCATAGTTAGAGGATTCTCAGTTCTATTATTCACTAAAATAAAATTTGCAAAAGTTTCACATGCTTGACATGTGGCTTATTACTTTCTATAATGAACTTTATTGTACATATTTATATATTCATAACCAGACACACACCTTTGTTATTAAAAATTTTTTATGTTTGCTTTTTTACAGATTAATCATGTTAATAAGCCCTAACTTTATTTGTGACTGTTGACTGAATGTTGTACTATTAAAACATTATAATATTTCAGTGTCTGGAGATTGTTAAAATAATTTAAAACAAAGTTGATATTGGGGCAAAGATCTAATTACTGTTTCTTTATACCAGGAGGTGTAAAGTATGATTCCATTTCTTAAATGGAATTTGAGAAATTAGTACTGGTTGTTCATTTTACCCAAGCATCAAAATAAAACAGTATTGTATCTTGAAGATGTTTTTGCTTGTGATAGATTGCCATGAGTATTGATTGCTGTCAAATATGTAATATTATTAAAAATACTTTTTTTGGTTATTATACTAAAATGTGATTCAGAATGTCCAATATTGAGGTGAATGTCCATTTTATATTTTATCAGATTTAGAAGTATCATATTAAGAAATATTTTAGAGATCTCTCTCTTGCTCTCTAGTTGAACACACATACACTTATACCTACATTTTAACATTTTGAATTGTGTAGTATGTATTAATCTCTCCACTATTTTACTTCCAGAAATTTGTGATAACAATAGTTTTCTTCATTCTGCCATTAAAAAACTAAATAATTGGAAATTAGAGAGGTAAAACTCTTCCCTGCATTTACCATCAAATGGTACTTATTTGATGGCAGTGTAAAAATAAGAAGTTTTTTAAGATTGAAATTTCAGGAGGTGTACACTGGAAAATACATCAAGTATGCTGCATTTATTTATATTAAAGAAGTACTTAATTTATCAGTGAAATCAGTACCTAGTAAAGACTTTCCTTCTGTATTTTTGTTTCAGGCTCAGGAGATATGGACAGTATTTCCAAGGTGAGTAATGTGTAAACTGTTACTTTTTAAAATCTGTATTTTATTCTACATAGAATTCTCATTAAGATTATTAGAGTAACTTTATGAATTTTGTTCTTGAACAAGAGTTTCAAAGTGGAAGGCCAGATATAATTAACTACAGGTTTAAAATATGAATGTATGTAATCTGGGGGAAATGGTAAAAATGAATCTTTTACAAATGTCTCTAAACATGCTAAGGTTCACTTACAAGAAGATGTACTATACCCGATTAATGGGTAATAACCCATTAATAATAACCACTTTAATCATGTTATGATGTTACATATTTGTAAAACAAAATGACATAGTTTAGATAATCTTTCTAAAACTTAAAGAAATCTAGAGTAACATGAGGAGTAAATTTGAAAAAGTAATTATAAGGGCATTGAATTTCCACATTGCATTTGTCTTGAAAGCCTTCCTTAGGCAATGCAGATGTCCTCAATCACTATTCTAGTTCCCCCAAGTAGAGTAAGAAGATAATTAGAGGAAAAGTATATTAATTCAAGTAGGAAAGTAAGCCTTCCAATAGCATGTGTCTGCATTTTTCTTCAAGAGTTTGAGTATGTAAAATTAATCCTCTGCTGAGACGCCTTACATTTTTTGAAGAAGAGTGCCTAAATACTTTGTAGGTCATGATGAGTTTAAAATAGTTTCCTGTGGGTTAAAAATATATTTATAATGGCCGATAAGAACTAATTATTAACTACCACTAGAATAACTCTCTCAGAAGTCTACTTCATATCAATAAATAGAGAAATTCATTAGGGGATATCTTCATTTTTAATTTTTCTAATTTATGTTCATGTACAATAATGTAAAATTCCTGATGCTAAAGGAGATACAGTAAGATTAAGCTACAAAACCTTTTAAATTAAGACTTCAAGCTAAAAGAAAAAAGAGAAGAGTGAGAGAGTTTAATTGGCATTCTGACATTAAGTCTACATTGCCTGGCTTCTAGGTTCTACATACTTTGGATGTCTGTGTCTAGGAAAAATCAGAAAGGTCTTTTTCTTTTTAAAAAATAGATAAAAATTTATAATGAGCACAAGCTTACTTCTGTGAGAAGCTATTAAGTAAGCCTTCAAAAAGCCTGTTTTCAAAATCAGATTCACTGTATAATTCCATTAGAGCCTTTCTCTGGGAAGCTCCTTACAAGTCAGATGACTGTGATTCTGTCAGCTCCCTGCAGCACCTAACAGCTGGTACTGGCTGAACTGTGCTCTGTGGACACCAGTGAAATTTCTGTAACATTTGAGTAGCACGGTCTGGTATCTAAAGACGGTTCTTCATTACACGGAAGTGGCATCATCCAGATTGCTTAAGGCCGTCTTCCTAAAATTCCCAATTATGGCCCATAGCCTGTACAGTAGATGGATATAAACAGGCTTCTATGAGAGAGTGCTCGGTAATTTATAAAGTACTTTAAAATTTTTAAATAGTGCTATAAGGCCAAATTAAATACCATCTTCTAATCTTCCTTTATATCTGGTCTATTGCTCTTCCTTCTGTGCTTATTTTCCCAGTCCTATTCCCAAACAAGGTTTTCTACTACCCTGTACCTACTGCTGATAACATTCTCTTGCCTAATGAGGTATTATTGCTTATTCTTTAAGCATTAACTGGCCACCCATTGTGTACTTTTGTGTACTGGGTACTGCCTTGTGCACTGTAGAAAGATTTGAAAGACTTCGTTAAATACAAACATAATCTTTGCCCTCAAGTGATTTATACTTAGGCAGCAGTTTCTTCATTCAGTAAACTACATCACCAGGCATTATTCTGGGCTCTCAAAATCTAAAGATAAACAAGATAAGGTCTCTGCTTTTAAGAAAGTCAGTATAACTAAAAAGACCAAACAAATATGGTAAGGAAAAACTTTTTCAAAGCAGAATTCAAATACATTCCATAATAATTATCTCCAAGTAATATACATGCCACTTAGCACTGTACTAGAAATGATTAGTTGCATCCACCTTCAAAAAAGCTGCTATGCAGCTCACTTCTGCAGTGCCCCCGTTCCAGGCTGCCTGGGTGATGGTACCTTTAGTGTCTGTCACATCTCCAGTGCTCCAGTCACTTTTCCTCTAGTCAGCAGCATCATGTGTATTGTCCCCCCACAAACACCCCTACCCTGATTTGTTTCTCCATACCTCTTTCCACTCAGCCAGATAATTTGTCTTTTCCTCCAAGGTGTATGCACATTGTCACCAACTCAATTTCCCCACTTTCTTCCTTTTCACACACATGCCCAACTATCCACAGAACTCCGTCCTTCCTTCGCTCATTTCCTGAGTTTGTTCCTTTCCATCCTATTCTTTTTCTACTCAGCCTTGATTCTGAATCAAAAAATAATAAAAAAATTGACCACTCCTGCTCAGCAGTATAGTTCAAAATCCCCGTTAGGTCTCCAGCTACAACCTCCTAGTTTCCCAGTTAAACCTGTATTTTGTCAAGCACCAGTATTAACATTTTTATAAAAAATGCCTTACTCAATTTTAATGTTGTTTATTAGTACTATTTCAATTTTTCCTACATTTTTATTGTAAATATACCCTGTTTAATGCATTTTATATGTAAGGTGAAGAGTACTGAATTGAGAATCAGAAAGCCTTGTTCTACTACTTACAAGTTTTGGCAACATGTTGCTTGATTTCTCTTCATCTTTGTTTTCTTAGCTCTAGAGTAGAGCTCGTAGTTCATTCCTCGCCTAGTTCATGAAACTGTTGAAACCCAAGTGTGACTGTGTGCCAAGGGCTACGAAGTGCTGTGCGCATGTTAACTCTTCCTCCACGCATATCTCCTTTGTGGCTGGGAACTCACACCGTCAGCTGCCCGTCCATGGCACCGTTCCACTGGCGAAATGAGCTAACACTCCAAAGAGTTTTAAGTTTTAGTTATTTTGTTTGTTTGTTTTAAAATTGTACTCATTTTTTAGAGAGAGGGGAAGGGAGGGAGAAAGAGAAGGAGAGAAACACTGATGTGTGAGAGAAATATCAGTTGGTTGCCTCTCACACGCCCCCAACCAGAGACCTGGCCCACAAATCAGGCATGTGCCCTGACTGGGAATCGAACCTGAGACCTTTTGGGTACATAGGCCAGCACTCAACCCCACTGAGCCACACCAGCCAGGGCTCCAAATAAAGTTTTAAAATTACTGCCTACTCTTTTGAGGATTACCTAGTAAAACTCGTGCATCTTTCCCAAAGTGCAGAATTCACCTTTAATTTAGAAGCCTTTTTTAAAACTGAAATGTAAAATTCTTGGCATGCCTTTTGTAACTGAAAAGTCATTCATTTATTCAGTAGAACAAAAATATTATGCCTTGGAGTTGTCTTAGGGTTTGGGGCCATAGAGGAGCCTATGGTTTGCTTTCTTAGAAGGAACTCACCTAAATAAATTCTTCAGTTCAAATTAAGATATTTAACATTTATATTTTTGAGCTTGAAAAAAAGGATATAAGATCAGGCAAGATCTAGTCATGTCATGCTTAATAAATTATCAAAGTAATCCTTTAGTCTGAAGCTGTCTCACCTCATGCACCTCAGTTCCAGTTGAGTATTCCACACCATGCACAGGGAAGCTGTCTGACAGCTGCAGATTCCTGCCATCATCTCAGTGGCGGGCCTGGGCACCAGCTCCCTTGCCCATCGGGAAAGCCAGGACTGGCAGTTTATTCCTTTGGGTAAATGACGGAGTCAAAACGGCACTCTCTAAACCTCGTAATTGGCAACCCGTGAGAAATCAATCCTAAAGTCACTTCCAAAGGGCTTAGAATAATGTCAATATTATTTTCTTTTAATTATGGATAAAGCCAACATTTTTACAAGTGTTCCCTTATTTCATAGTAGTTTGAAAGTTTTGGAACAGTCTCTGGGGACAGGTGGAAGAAGGAGAAATAACGTAGTCATTAAAAGATGATATGGAAGATTACCTGAAAGATAAAATCAGAAAACAGAGAGCTGAACGACTTAACTGTGTTATCCAGAAGAAAGTGTGTGTGTGTGTGCCCACGCACTGGCACGTGTACATACTTAACAGTAGCATTCATATCTGATGTCATAGCTTAAGGAAGGGAAACGTTCCCGTTTGAAGAAAGGGTAAATGAGAATACATAAAATCCCTTGAAAATGGATTGGTATAATAGTAACTATACTTTTCAAGTTAAAGTCTTAGTGTACAAGTAGGAAATAAAGTACATATTAACTGAAGTAAGAAATGCAACCAAAGTGTTTAAAGTCACTAAAAGTAATTTTTACTTGTGTTCTTTGTGCTCCATATTCCCTAATTACATGCTCAAGCAATCAGTGCCTTTTTTGACCAACCTGAGCCCTTTTTGTGCATTATATTCATGCCTTTATGATGAAATCTTTTGGACACTGCACACAAACATACCCACAGTTAAAGGAAATACGCACCCAGTTCATTGCCACCTGCCCTGCTAACCTGCCCCGGCCTGGAGTTTGGAACCTCAGTCTCAGCCACTTCCCAGAGGCCGGCGTGGGGTGTGACTTTGTTCTCCTCATCACTCAGTGATGGTGGGCATCACAGTCTCCTGAAGACTCCCCACTGAGGAACTTTTGCTGTTTTCACAACATTTTGCAGAGATTACTTCAGATCTTTTTTAAAAATTGTTTTATTTCAAGATTTTTAAATATGCCCAGTGTGCTAGATTGGAGGAGGTTTTCAGAGATCTAATATTAGTTCAGTTTTGTATGTTGAATGTGTCCTTTTAATCTTCCTCTCAGTGTTCTTTAATCCCACAAAAAAAATAAAAGAAAAAGACTCTAATGCTGAGTCACCACGATGTGAAAATAATTCACGAAAAACAAAAATAATAACACTGAAAGTATTTTATAGCTGTTTCTTCTAAATATTCTTGTAAATATTTCTTTCTAGATATTTAAACAGTAACACAATGTTACTTTAATTTCTTTAATATTTTTAAATCAATACTTTGAGTCAGGAATCAGATTTGAATGTAGCTAAACTTTCAAAATTATAAATCAGAAAGTGAGATATGGCAAAAGTACGGCGGGTCTGAGAACACCCCGACTTAATCAGCGGCCTGGGGCTGCCTTCAGATTCAAAGCGCCTCAGGAGCTGCTGCGGGCGCGAAGGCCACCCCAGAGCGGGGAGGGCCTGTTCCAGAGGTTCGTCTGAACATGCAGAAGCTTTCTGCTTCCAAGTGCATCCTCACACGCCCACGTTTAGGGATTATATTATTGTTTAAGTTTACTAATTGCCCCCTATGTTTGAAATGACAGAAATCTGCCTTCACCAAAAAGACATAGATTTGGGGTAAATCTTACAATGTTTGTATAAATGACTTTTATGTTTGAGCTAAGTTAGCATTACCATTCCTATTTTTAAAAACAGATTGATTAGTTAATAATTTTAAAATGAATAAGTTATGGCTTAGTTACATTTAATTAAATTTTATTTACTGTTTTTCAGGAAATGAAGTTATCCATGTTCATTTCAAAGTATATTTGCTTTTCTGTATACTTGGGAAACTGACATTTTTAGAGAAAAGTTTATCAAAAAAAGAGTTCTCTTTATGCTGTTAAACTGTGGGTCCCCAGCTGGTGTGGCCAGTTGGCACACAGAGCTTCTATGGACCTCAGAGGGTCCCTGTGGGTTGCACAGCGGACAGCATACAGGCCCTATGGCCACCAGTTCACACACCTGTGTCTGCTTTACAATGTAACCGCATTTTTAGAAAACACATTCGCATTCATGAAATTTTAATTTTTATAACACAAGTTGCTTTTAGTTAAGTCAAATCCTCAGAGCAAATTTCTTTTAAAAAGCTAAAAACTTACCCAAAACAGAGTGTACAATACAATGGCTTAGGGGAAAAAAATCTAAAATCTTTCTTCCACTTGAAATAACAAATAAACATTTTTAATCTTGAAGTTTATTTTTACAAGTCAATACATTGGACCTCGAAAGATTCCCTCAGCCACAGTTGCAGTGCTGTGGGAACGTGCTGTGAACGCCCTTACCATCCTGTTCTGGTATCCTATAGCGGTGGAGTATCAGACAACTCACAGGGCTAAAATTGTGTGCTAATAGTAAGACTAGCCTATGTAAATAGGATACGAAGTGATATATTGCTAACTTAGTGTTCAATTAGATAGCTGGTATCAGCCATCTTCTCTTAAAGGAAAGTTCGGAAGTAAACCGTCTCTTAAACTAATGATGGAAAAGGTTCTAAAGCAGGTTTGCCTTGTAGCCTTCTTTTCCTCTAAATGCACATACTGAATTCTGAGGTCCCAAGTTATTCCTCTTGTTCTTAACTATAGTTGTTAACTGTTTTCTCTTTTCCTTATGGTTTATATGAAAATAATGGTTAAAGGAGTGTAATTGTGCAAACCACGTGTGGAATTAAAGGGAAATGTTTATGGATGACCTGTTGAAGTGTGATTAGTAAAATCAGGAGGGAGGTCGATGGTCTGTCCTGCCTCATCGGTGGACAGGCTCTCCTCATTATGCCCCTGCTGGGAATGTTTTTAAACTCTCCAGAGTTCTAGGAAATCTATCAGCTGAGGGTGGAAAATTGAATAAATATATTGATTCTGAGACTAAGTAAAAAGTTGTGGTGGGTTATTCTGGGTTTTCTGTGTGTGTTTCAATTTTCATTTGGGGAAGCATTAGTACTTGTCAGGGTTCAAAGAATGAACTAGAATACGTGGTCTAAGATTAGAATCACAAGTCGGCTTTGTCCTTAGAGATGCTGCTATAGATTCCATTTTTGAAATAGTACAATGCAAGAGGGAAATTAAAATCTTCAACAATGCCTTGTTTTCTAAATCTTGTTTACAGAATTCTCCCAATAATATGAGCCTGAGTAATCAACCGGGCACTCCAAGGGATGATAGCGAAATGGGGGGAAATTTCTTAAATCCTTTTCAGAGTGAGAGTGTAAGTATTCCCTTGACTACATTATTATATACAGATTTTATTTCTGAAGCTCTTCTATTAGAATTAATGCATAAATCCATTATTATAACTGTTTACAGTTTAATAGGTTGATCTTTTAAAAGTTAGAAAATTAAGTGAAATTTCTTTGAAAAAAATTTTAATATAAACTCTTTATTTTTTACTCCCATGTACTTAGTTACAAAGATAAAAATTATAATACTAATTTTCTTATAGAGAACATCCACTGGTAAGGAATACATTGGATATAGTTGTGTATTTGATAGTTTTTGTAAGTTTTCACATGACTAAAATGTCTTGGGTCACTGCAAAACCAGGGGCAGACAAAAGTAGGTTTACAGTTAGTATGTGAAACAGTTTATTCTTGTATTATTATTTGTTAGTTATTGTATTACTTTGCATATGAACAATTGTAAGTCTCCTTTTGTCTCACCATATAATACACATATACATATGTATATATATGTATATACACATATGCAAATATATATATATTTATGCATATATATCTATGTTAGTGAGGACAAAAAAGGTATGCATAAAAATTCATTTAAAAAAATCAAAAGTATATCCCATGAGTAATGAGGAAATGGGAAATGTATGAGAAACTATGTACTTTGTCATAATGCTTAGGATTATGGAAATTATTTTTTAGAACCTGGTTCTTTCACTAGTTTGTTGCAAGACTGTGGACAAATTAGTTCATTTTAATCAATTACTTAATGTTTACTTTATCTAATTAGAGACAAGTATATCCTTTCTTCTAATTCTTCCAGCCATAAAATGGTGTAATTCAGTGAAGTATAATCAATTCCATTTAACTCAACATTTATTAAGCCTGCTTTATGTAAAGCACTAGGTTAAAGACAGGTATTCTGACATAAATAAAACACAGCCCTAACCTCAAAAATTCCAGTGAGACTGGGGAGAACATACGTACGCACCTAATTAAACCACTCGTCACATTCATAATTACTATCATAATAGATGTAAACCAGGTATTTTAAAGGCATAGAAGAAATTATTTAGTTTGTATTGGATAAAGACTTTTTTAAAAAGTCTCCACACAACTTGAACTCCAGAGGAACTCTCCCCGCTCCTTGCTGCCCAGAGTTGTCATTACTGGCTGCTGTCTGGTTTAAGTCAGAAGAGGGCTGCCACCTCAGAGTTGTATCAGAAATCTCTTTACGGGGATCAAAGAATGAGACATAACAGAACTTTAAAAAACTTCTTCGCGCAGAATAAATACCAGCCCCACCCTTTACCTTCAGCTGGAGAATGCACACGTGCGCCTAGAAAAGAGAGCAGTCGGGGCAGGGCCTCTCCCATCCCCGACTCCCAGCCCAGCCTCTCAACCCTTGAGGTCAAGATAAAGGTGAAGGGCCAGACTGCTCTGCAGAGTTAGCAGGAAGCAGAAGTGCCCTCCTTTCCTCTCTCTCCTCCTCTCTTGGCCCCACCAGAAGAGTCCCAAACAGCAAAATAATTGGGTGGTGGCTGAGGAGTTAGTCACAGCTCCGCACTGGCTGCTCTGTCCTTTTGTCTGTCTGGTGAGGGGCTTCCCATATTATGAATGATGTCATTGTAGCTGCAGTTTTCTCCATCACATCACCACACACTTTTGTTTAGACTTTTTTAAAACATCGAGAAATGAGAGCAGAGAGGGACGAAGATGAAAGACAAATTAAGGCATCAGGAAGATATAGACTAGGTATCTTCAATAAGTTATCTTTACTGTAACCAAGGAAAAGCATAACTATGTAATGAATTCAAAAAGAAAATGGCGCCCTCTCCCTCCTGGGACCACGCCCACGCCTTTCTTCCCTCTCAGATGTGCATCTCCTGAACTCGGAGGGTCCCCACAAGACCTTCAAGCAGCAGAGCAAGAGCTGCAATAGGCAGCTCGTCCCGGGATAACCCCCTGAACCTGTCCCCAAAGGCCCTTTTTCTCTGGCTTTGCAGTGAGCCAAAGCAGCCCCGCCCAGTCTCTCCTGTTGCTTCTTCTGGCCCAAGCCCTTCCTCGCTTTACTGTCCCCAGCTCTAATAAACATACTGTAAAAATAAAAAAGAAAACATCTTCCAATGAACAAACTTATAAAATTCTAATATTTTTTAACACACATAACTCTGAGAAGCACATATTGTTGAGCGATTTGCCCTTTGAGGTTTTGTCCGTCCTTATCTTCACAGTAAATCACAGAAGGAGGTCTGGGAAGGGAGCGAACATCTACTGGGTGCTTATTACCTACAGACACTATCTGGTCACTTCACACAGGCCACTCCATTTAATTAATATAGAACCAAAATGTCTCACCTGAAGTCAGAAATCTTGCAATGCCAACATGCTTTACACAGAAAAATGTGAATCAGAAATGTGTCACTCTTCACCTCCTGTTTTCTTAGATCATAAATAAGGCCTTTGTTTCAAGAAACAAAGAGGCCCCTTAGTGTGTACTCTATAAAGCTTTTGGTTTTGGAAATACAGAATACAAAAAAGGCTTAGTTCAAAAACTAGTGCTTTGTGCTTCTCAAGTAAAAAAAATGAGTCATTTCTTGAATTAATTTAGCAGAATATTTTCTCCATGGCACTAAACTATAATCAACTGAGCAAACTTGATATTAAAATCATGGGTGTCAAATAGGAATTATAAACAAGGCACCAGATCATGTCCTCCTACCCCCTCCTGCCCTTTGTCATTGTCTGCTATTGTAAAGAAAGCACATATGGCCAACTTTTTTACATAGTCACATATACACTAAATGTATCTCACTTAAGTTCAAAGTAGCTATACTGCAGTTTTCTCTCATTAAAACAATGAAATATTATATAGATATTTAGAAATAGAAATATGGTGAGATCTAAAATATAGCTCAGAGTAGCTGCATGTTACTTATCTCTCATAAAGAGAATATAGATACTTAGCAATATAGTGAGATCTGAAGTGTCGTTGAAGTGTACAAGCAGGAATTTACAAACATTGTTCAAGGACTTAATGGGTGTCCCTGATGGATTCCATGGTGCTTCAACTGGGTATAATAAAGGGAAAATCACAAATTCTCTAGTACATACCAAGGCCTGTCACTTCAAAAATAATTTACATGAAAAGGTAAAACAAGCTAGTATGTGTTGAAAATTATACCTTTAGGTTTTACTTTTTTTTTTTTTGCTAAACCAAGCACTAATACTGTCAACAGCTTTCTAAGAGCCATTTTGTCATTTGCTTGAGGAGAAGCAGACTCGGTAGTTTTGAAACAGCAAGCCGACGCCACGGCACTGGGGCACAAGCATCCGATACGCCTTTGCACACTGATGCAGCCGTGTGACGGAAATGCTGCAGTGTGGTCTCAGGACTGTCCACCAGGAACACTTAATGCCTCTAAATCTGATACCCCCATTTAACACCTGCTCTTCCTTTTCCTCTCGAAAACCCTAAGCCACTTCTCTTCTACTCTGAAGAATAGTCACCGAGAGCAAAATTCCTTTTTACATGCACATTCTGTGAGTTGTTCTAGAAAGTGTGTGATATCCCTTAATTTACACAGTCGAAGCATTTTCAATAAAGGCAGGAGCAGGTCGGCAGATTGTAGCCTCAGCAGGGCAAACAGTACGTTGCCTTATGTCGACACTCACGCATCAGTGCAGCCTGTTACACTGCCCTGAATACACGGACAGCCTCCTCTTCAGCCGCTTGTACTAGTACCATATTAAATATCATCAGGCACTTGCTCATTTTTCTGAGTTATATGACTTGGAGCTGCTGCTTCCTCCCTTTCTGACTGAGTCTAACCCTTATTTTCTCTTTCATTGTACCTCATTTGTCCACTTAGCTTCCTCCCTGGATAAGCCTGGCTTCCCTAACTTCCCAGTGATTCTATAACACGTTTTCATTTTTATGTAAAATGTTTGAAATGTTACAGGTTAAAAATCTTAACAATTGCCAGTGTGAAGAGATGGTAGCGACCAACAGATATGCTTGACGTGCAGAGAATGTGCATATATATATATTTATTTACATATACCAATACTTTTAACGGTGTACATTGGAACAAAGGTTATAATATAGCTACACTATCTCTCCTAACATCACATGACATCTGTGACACATGAATGAACTGCAATAATCCTATTAAAGAAGGATTTAAGAATTTTAAAAATCCCTGTAAAGAAAAATATGTATTAAATAAGACGATCTCTGGAGTTCCTTATGACTTCTCCAGAAAATATTTTTCAGACATTTCCTTTCAAGTTCTTTCTGAAATGCTTTAGTATCTTTTACTATTTTTAGATTATTGGCACAATATACCCAATAAAATCTTTGTCTTGAAATAATGATTGATCTAGCTGTATTTTTTCATTTAAATTAATTACAATTAAACGCAACCAAAATTTCACTCCCAGTTGCACTAGCTACATTGGGAGAGTTCAGTAGACGTGAGTGGTCGTTGGCTGGGGAGTGAGGCAGCACAGAAAACCTGCCCCTGGTCACAGGAAGTTCTGTTGGATGGTGCCTGTGTGATCACTGATCTTTATTGTAAATGGCAGTGGCTATAGAAAGCATAGATTAAGTTTTTCTGTGCCCATTTTGCCATATTCTCTAAGTTTTTCTACTTTTAATAACATCTTGGTATCCATTTATTTTCCTATTGTTTACTCTTACCCCCGAAAGGCAAATAACAAAATATAATTCTGTTTCATCCAAAGCTGTGGATAGTTCACGGAAGCTTGCTGCCGTTATTTACAATGGGAGATTTGTGTGGCATCTTCTGGTGAAATCAGGGTTACACCCCCTTCCAGCACAGGGCCAGGGAGACCTCCATTTCACCAGGCCTTGTTCATGATTGTTGTTGGTTTTGGGTTTTTGTTGGCTTTGCTTTTTTGCTGCCACTCTCAGGGGTAAAGGGGAGCAGTTTCCTATCAGACTGAATCCCCTTCCTCTTCTCTGGCAGGCTCCTTTTCCGAAATCACCCTACTGACTATGGTACAACGTGGAGTCAGTAACACATGTAACACATAGAGCTGAGCTTTCTTACACGGAAAGGAAATTTGAGGCCGATGAACAAGTAGATTTTTCTTGATTTGTCCTGTGTATAAAAGATTAGTGACCCTCCCCTGTGACTCAGTGACCTGTTTCTAGGCCTAGTCACTGCCTTTATTCGCCATCGAAGCATTTTTTTATTCGAACCCTAGATTTATGCCTAACAATTTTCTGCCCACACTTCTGCCAGCTGAGTCACTGTTACCCTGTGATCTCCCTTGGAGAAATCTTGTTTCTCTGTGTTGATAAAGCCATCCTTATCCAAGTGCATACCTTTTACTGCCTTTCTGGTTCCTGCAGTAGCTCAGCTCATGTGAATTCACTTCATTCTGCCCCACCTGCTCCCTGTTTTTAAAGTTTACGCTCCCTTTCCCAGGGTCGCCACTTTTTCCCAGGTTAAGTCCCTGCGGCCTTGCACCATCCGCCTCTTTCCACAAGGCACAGTCATTATCAGCATGTTAAAAAGAATCCCCTTTTGCCCTGGTCCTCAGCAGTTCCTAATAAAACATTGACAGTATGTGGGGTCCACATGTATATTTTAATCTGGAGCCCACTGCCATTTGGGATTCCACGCCCCTCACGTCAGAGGATCTCCAACTGTGCTGTCCAAAATGGTGGCCACCAGCTCTATGGTATTTACACTTCAATAAGTTAGGTAACACTAAAATTTTATTTCCTCGGTGGTGCTAGCCATATATTGTGTGCCCAGTGGCCACATGTAGCTGGTGGCTTCCATGTTGGGCAGGACAGTCTTATTAAAGCACACCCATCGTTGAAGAAAGTTCCGTTGGATAGTGCTGCCGAAGAACTTTTCTATCACAGTCTGTCCCTCAAGAATATGAGGCGAGATTGGCATAATTATCAAAGTAATTCCTCTTGGTTCCTCACTTGATCATTTTTGAGACCACTTCCAAATTTCTGAAAGCCTCACCTTTTACTGATTGTTACCCTCAACAAACTGACAAGTACCATAACAACAGTGTTCCACTCCTACCCAGAGAAGATTACAAATTGAGATTGGATTAGGAAAAAATAGTTATATGCTAAAGTGTAGCTAGACTCTTACGTGTTCTAAATGCTTTAATGATAACTTCCTAGGGCCAGCTAGCAGTTGCTTTCTGTTTTGTTCAGTTTTCCTTACACTACTAATCAAATATTTACTAAGTACTTTCTGTATATTCAATAAATATATGGTTTTAAGGATTATGTATTTAATCCTCCCAAAACCCTTTTAAAGTGGATGCTATTATTAAATTTTTTCATGGGTGAGGAAACTGAAGCACAGAAGGTCAGATAACCTGCCCAGTTCACGTAGCTAGCACATAGCAAGACTGCCCTCATACTTATTTCATGTGATTCGACCTTGGGCAGGATTTACCCAAACTGTGACAAATGCCCATGAAACCAGTCTGGCTGGAAGAAAAAGGTTGAGGGGCTGGGTAATTATCATCCACCTAAGTCCAGGGAGTAATGTGACTGGTTACTTTCCAAAGGAAATATTAAAAACTTCAGCATTAAGTCAAGTACTTTTTGTATAGTTTATTTTATGTTGTATGAGGTTAAAAGCTTGAACGTAAATGATTATAAGACATTAAAATTCGTATTTACTTTGTTTACCATGAAGAACATTATGTGGTCTGTCAGAGTTGATGTTAAAATGTGGATTCTTCTTTCTTTCTAGTACTCCCCTAGCATGACAATGAGTGTGTGATCTATTACCAAGTCTCCTCATGAAAACCACAGTGAGTCAGCCCTTCACAGAACTACTAGGGAAGAAAATGATTCATCACAGTGTACAGTTAAACAAAGGAATCTCAGTCACACCAAACCAACATTTTTATTTCCTGCTCTCTCCCCTATTTTGTGAAGAAAGCGGGTCCAAACATGATTCAAACAACTGTACGGAGCGGCGTATTAGAATTGCCCTAAAATGAACTGCAAATAATTATGTGTATGTATATGTGTGGGAAAGAGAATGTATTGTATATGTGTATGTTATATGGACATATACACATGCATACATTGACCCACAGGACATTGTAAAATATTATCACATGACATCTTAAGTAGAAACAAGTAGGGACTTTTATTCCATCCTTTTTTTCACGTTTACATTTTAATTATTAAAAGTTGCTCCTGCCCCTCCCTCAACTATTTTGTGCTGTGTATATCACTGCTTTATATAAGTTATTTTTTAAGGTGAACTCAGATGTTATGGTTTTGTAAATGTCTGCAATCATGGATAGGAATAAAATCGCTTATTTGAGAGCTTTCATTAAATTGCGTCCGATGCACGTTACCCTGTGAATCACAAAGTGTACTGTCTCGGGAAAAAAAAGAAGAAAACTGTGTCTTCATCTTTATGTCAAACCAATTTCTCAGTTACCTTCAGTGAAAATATTTTTGTATCCTTTGTTTAAAACAAAATACTTCAACAAAAGCCTAACTGGGACCTAATGGTCCCTTTCTTCAGTAATTGCTGTAGATGGAATTCTTGATTTGTCTGTCTTAGGTGATACAGAACACTATTAATTAACACCAATTGCTTAGACCATAGCAATAAAGTGACAGGGCTTGTCATAATTTTATCAATATACTTTCTCAATATACTTAACATTATCATGTTAATGATAAAGACCAGAAGTAATAAGAAAACCATTTGCTTGAGTTTGTCACTTCTCACCAGGGAAACTAAAGGTAAATCTGTAATAACATACTAATGTGAAATGCTATCTGATTTTTATTCTGACTTCTTGTGAACATTTTCACATAGACATTGCAAAGAAGATGCATTCAGATAACTGAGAATTTCAACACAAGGAGGAAGGGTTTTTACTGCAGCCAAGGGGCTCTGGCACGCTGCCTCTCTAGCCAGGGGTCTTGCTCACCAGCAGCAGAACTGGCTGGTGACCGTGGCTTCTGTGCACACCTTCCCACTGGCAGCAGAGCACCTGCTCTCGTCCCAGGATGCAGAGCTTTTATTCAGAGGGAAATCATTTGGCCATTGACTTCAGCAGGCTAAATCTACATTGTGTAACTGTTCAGAAATAATATGAGTAAATGTTAGAAAATAAATTTTTAAACCACTTTTCTAATGAAAGCCCCTTGCTCTGTGGTATCTTCCAGATCTTTTGGAGCTTTTCTGTGTAATCATACCTACAGACAGCAAAATCATGATAGAAGTGTGACAACTTTAATGTAGAGTCTAAAAGATAAGTTAATGATCATTTCCTTGTTAAGATTGTGATGCAAATAGCCATTGATAAACAATTATATTTCCGAACTCCAAGCGCTAAAAAGCATTGTTTAATATCAGATAAGAGAATTCCTTTCCTTAGGCTCGTGGTCTCTAACCACGAAAATTTGGTAGTACATTTGCTAGTTCCTGATCCCAGATGACTTACATCTCTCAAATTTGTAATGATTTACTCTTTACGAAAATAAAGATTTTGCCTGTGTGTGACAGGGATGCTGGGCAGAACTGCTGAAGGGAAAAAGACAGGCTGAATTAAATTTATGTTCCAGATTTAAATTCTAATCCAACAAGTCACCATTCATCAGAGAGTGTGCAGGAAAATAGGACTGTGCACTGGAGAACAGCTTCAAGCATTCAAGAACTTTCATGAAGAATTCGAACTAAAAGGTCTTTAACTCAAGCTAAGGTAACCTGAAGGTGACACTTTGTGCTGACACATAAATCTACCAAGAATAATTTTAACTTTCACTGTTTATGATGACTGTGTGAACATTGACAGTCCCATGATTAAGCTTAATCTAGAATTTTCAAATGTTTGGTTGAGTCTTTATTGTTACTGATCTTGAATTACTTTTGTTTGCCTTCTACGAAGGTATTGTTTCTTATCACAAAGAATCATGGACCTTATTTTATTTGGCCTTTATTTTAGGGGTGATATTGGATTATGAATAGCAATATGGGTGCGATAATTTCTATCCTATTTGGTCAAAAAAGGTAAAATTTGATTTTTTCCACATATAGTAATCAACTCATTATAAGTATTTATTCATTTTTTTTCTCTTGGAACCCAGGTTAAAAAAGAGCTAGTTCAAATTTTTTAAATTCTTGAAATAGTTGAAAATTTATTTTTAAAAAGAAAATTATATTCAAGAAAGTCCGAAAAGAAGGATACTTAATTTTAATATAAAATAAATTTCTTCTGTACCCAATGGAGGATACTATATCTGTATATTAATTTTTATTTAGGTCTGAATCATTTGAACCCTCTCCTTTTCTCTTATAATAAGACTATTTAATCCTTTCTCTCATGTTTTTCATCTCCATCCATGCATTTGTTTGGTCTTGATACAAAATACCTGTTTCTGAGTTATTTTTGCATATTTCACCTCACAGTAATAATATCAGTAATTCTCGCCTACCTTGAATATACAAAATACTCATATGAAATGTGAAAATAAGTAGTAGGTAAAAACATTACTTCTCATTCCTCTGCTTTGCATTCTGCCCAACTCACACTGTTGAAGATACATGTTAAATCCTTTCTAAAGTATGTATACTCATCACCAGCTGTCTCTCTTATAGCAAAGCTGCCACGGGAACGGAGGCTATGGAGGGCCACTGATCTGGTGACATACTGCACATTCGATCGATGAACCTCTGTGGCCCTTTTCGAGTGTTCCCGTTTGGACTCAGTTGCTAATGAGTAGGAGTCACACAGCTAGGAGTAGGAGGTTAAGGTTTCTGTGCTGCCAAAAATGACTACATTAATGTTGCTCCCTGAGCCATGGAAAGTTCCCAAAAGACCCCTTTCCTTCTACGGATAAAATAGAGACAACTTCTAATTCTGTTTGTATGATTCCCCAACATATCTGAACTCTTGCATTTCATAGGACCATTCAGTGACCACTCTTCCTGTAGTTTAAAAGACAGCCGCTGAAATAAATGAGTTCAGTTTGGGACACAAGGAAGCCCTACATCTGTCCACATTGTCATTCTGAAATCATTCAGCAAAGCATCCAGAACTGCTCCCTTGGCAGAGAGTTTGCCCCAGTCCTTCCTACTCTTGACTTGTCTCTTCCTTGGCTTTCTCCATGTGCCGCCCCCCCAGCCCCTGTGCTCTGCAGTAGAAACAAGACACAGACTGAACCTGTTTTACCTTCTTAGCCCTTACAACTTTCTTATTCATGTAGTATGTCATTTTCCCAGGGGAAATCACTGCAATTTACATTTTTTGATTATTACCGTTAATTAGAAACAGTGTCACAAATCACAGCTACTTCACTTTAGAAAGTAATGATAGTATTTTGACACTGGTGTTTCCTTCATTTCTATGTGTTAATGTACTATAATTCTCTTTTCATAAAAACACTAACTGACACAAGTAGTGCAAGAGTGTGTAGTGTAGGAGAAGTCCCATATGGAAGGGGAAAAGTTGCCAGAAGTATTTCCCAAAAAGTGGATTAGTCCTTTTTCTTAACTACCATAAGTGAAGTTTCTTGTTCGCTGTGAGGCGCAGAAGTCCGTGTTTGCTTGTAGTACTCAGTTGTAAGGGGCTCCCTGGGCCTGTAAACCAAACCTGGAGAAATTCTGGACAAGTAAAAGGAAGAATGGTGAACCACTATGAGTACACTTCCATTTTACATACTAGACGTGTGTGTGCATGTTCATGTGTGTTGAGGTGGTAGTGTGAAGTTTGCTCCCAAAACACTCCCACTATGGTTTACATTATGCTATAGCACAACTGGTTACTATTAAACATAATTCTTTTGTTTAATTGCTTTCTGTTTCATTGGTAAAGAAGGTGATAAGAGTGATTTGGGATGAAAAGAGTAATACAAGACATAAGCAGATGGATCTCCTATGCCCAGCATTAACGCACCCCTGTTAGCTTATCCACATTAGGCCTCCTGATGAGGGTGCTGCCTCTGAAGGTAAGAGCATAAATGATCATTTAATCATTGGTCACTTCACTGCCAGGAATCGTGCAATAATTACATATGGTTCTTTTTTTAATTTTTATTTATTGATTTGAGAGAGAGAGATCAATCTGTTGTTCCACTTATTTATGCATTCGTTGGCTGATTCTCATATGTTCAACCCCCGCCCTGAGCGGGGGTTGACTCCACAACCTTAGCACATGGGGACAGTGCTCTAAACAACTGCACTACCCAATCAGGGCCTGTAGTTTTTTGATGCTGACATTTGTTTACAATAAGTAGAATTGACATTATCATTTTATTTCACCACTACCCGTGGAATTGTAATTCAAAATCAAAGAGATGACCTACAGATGAAAAACACCTGAGACCTCTCTAATTACTCTTCAAAACTATATTCTAAAAAAAAATTTTCTCAGTTGAATAAGTCTCCTAAACAGAATTTCCTCTGTTAAGTTTTCCCTGTTAGTATAATTGGTCTTCCCAAATAAAAGAAACATGATTTGTATAAGTAGCTTAATGTGAATATTTCTGCAGTCCATATCCTTACAAACTTAATACAGCACCCCAAGTAGACGTCATAAATGTTTAAGTGGAACTAAATGTTTTCACATGTAGAATTGCAGCTTGTGTCTTCCCTCTTTGTGGATTCCCTGTCTACAGGATAAATTGGACTCATTCTGATTATCCCAGCCATTGAAATGTTATAATGTGTTCTAGGGATATTTAGCATTTCATTTTTAAACTAAACTGTGCAGTTAACATGACAAGGTGAGTGTTAATATTCCTAGAAAAATTATATAAAAGTTTCATCCCCAGTTCACATTAAAACTTTATCCCACTTGCTTTTTATCCCACTTGCTTATTTTCCCCAAACGATCTCAGTACACTGCCAAGAAAGTGAACTACGATTCCTCAGAGCGTTCTCAGAACACAGTATAACGCATTTTCAGCTCCGTTGCCGTCACGTCATGATCAAATTGCTCAGTGAAATACAATTAACCATCTACTTATTATGAAACAATCTCAATAATCTGTCTGGTTTACATACTTTAAATTTAGCAATGCTCTAGAAATCTCCTTAGTGTGAAGTACTGATTAAAATGTGCGTATGCCTGGCTTCCTGGATCATATTTCAAGATGTTTTACTGCCCTTACATTAAGACCATTACAAACTTAACAGAGACTCCATTAGAATGAAAAAAGGACATGCTATTGTGTCAAACATGAAAAATGGAGAAGTCTTTATTGTGAATTCTTTATCCATAATAGCCATCAGCTTATTGAACTGTTTAATTTATCCCATTGTGATTATATGAATTTAAGATGTTTTCTCACTATATGTGTTAAATTGTTACCTATAAATG